TAACACGGTTGATTCTAACCATTGTACTTAATATCAGAGGGAGGCAATTACCTAGTTATTCCAGTTTGGGTTTTTTTCCTTCAGAAACAGCCATACATTTTAGAATTTATCTGCCACTTTGATAAGCAGAAATCAGCTTGGACAAGCACTGGCTCTTGCTGAACAAGTACTATTTGAAAACATCCACAGCTATGAAAAACATCCTCACACCTCTCCTAATGATAAATGTATGATGCCCGGAGAAAATGTTACCTTTACGTGGAATGAAATTTCTTGCACTAATAGACTCTGTTTCTCAAATAACTTTCAGAGGTAAACTCACATAGAGTTTACCATTGCCAAGAAAATTTTAACCTTGGCAAACACACAGATATTACAACTTATTTTCTGCAGATGCACACAGTTTGATGTGATCAAAGTTGAAGTAACTATACTAGCTTGTTTTCTGCTTAGTATTTATGTTATAACATCATGATGTATCTTTAATTAAGCCTCTATTTAACTAACTCTTCTGAGAGAGGATTTTTCCTCATCAGTTTTGAGGCACTTCACTAGGAATGCAAAAGATCACATAACTATTTTGTGAAGTTATCTGCTTTCATTCTCTGCCCAAAAGGCCCCTCGTACATTTCTGGATTATTTGACTGGATCCACTAAAACACACTTTACTTATTTTTTTTAATCAAGTACCTCAAATATACATGAACTGATTCACATAAATACACAAGATTTAAGCATCTTTCATTTCTACTTTACAGGTAGTCTCCTGTTTATATTCCCAAACGGTAAGAAGATTACAAGAAAAATGTTTTCTTTGTTCACACATTCTGGCACTGCCAGAAAATGTGCCACAGCTTTCCTATACCTCCAAATGAGACAGAAAGACGCAGTGAGTACAATGTGGTTTTGGTTTGAAATGTCTGGATGAGCAGCAGCTTAGAATGTACTGCAGTTCTGTTCCATGGACAGAGCTGCGGCCTTCAAGGCACCACTAGAACTAGCTCTTGGGAAAGGAGTACAAGGAGGTATTTGCAAAGCTGACCAAAGGAGCCAGAGGTTTTGGTACTGATCAGAGACAACTCTGTAAACTTGTGAAAAACTGCGCAGAAAACCATTTCAGGAAGTGACCAGTGACAGAATGAAGTGATACCATCACCCCCACCCTTCCAGAGGAACCCAAGCCTGCAGCTCTCAGCACAGAGACCATTCTACACTTTCTTTAGGAATGAAGGAAAACAAAAGCACTTCTGATCAGCACGATGAGCCTATCAGAGTCAGAGCTTAGCAGGTCTTTGGCATCAAGAGTCTAAATTTTACATGAACTAATGAGGCACCAGGATCCACAGATTACTCCACCTATTCCCACTCTCAAAAGCCTTTTCTTTCATTATTACAGCTAGTTTGTATCCAAAACCAGTCTCACCTGAAAGTGTGGACACTTTTCGAATCAGAGTGTCTCGTTTGCGTTTCAATAAGGTGTTCTGTCCAAGAAACTTATCTGCCTGATCCGTCAGTCCTTGGATTTCTTCAAAGGCCTAGAAAAGTGCCAGGGAACTGATTTATAAACCAATGACACACAAATTAATACAGTAATTTTCCTTCCCAGAAACCTTTACAAATTTTATTTAGACATTTTTGTAACATTGAGAAAATAGGACTCAGAGAAAGCATGTGAAGTACCATGGAATGCCAGATTTCCC